CTGTAAAGTGATTGTCGGTGAAATGCACACCACCCATACCAAGATGCTATCTATTAATGTTACATGTAAATTTGATTGGTTGTTTTATAGATTTGTCTGACGGACAAACTTGGTTGTCCGAGTCCGAGTTTGTCCAAGTCTGGTCCGAGTAACAACACTATTTTAAATTACCTGCTATTAAAATTAGAGTTTCTAGACTAGATTTTATAAAATAGCATCATATTTATCTATAAACTTATATTTTGTTGAAAAATTTTGAAAGCAGAAAAAAAAATGGTAAAAACTATTTAGCTAAGAAAAAAAAGTATAGCTTAAAAAAAGCCTGTTTTTTACTGTTTCTTAGTTGTTTTGCAACTAATAGTTTTATTGACAGAAGGCTTAAACTTCTATTGCTTCTACTTATCTACCAAAATTTTATATACAAAAGTACTCACTATCTTCTGCCAATTATCTTGTATACTAATACTTTGGCGTATATATTAAATATATAAAGAAGTTTTTTATTAAGCTATAAAGTTGACTTTTATAAAAACTACTCTGTTGATTCACCTACTATAGGTTTACAACTCTTTAGTATAAAAACTAGACTTTTCTTTTTGTTAGAAATTTTGGTCCAAGTAATTGTTGGAAAAACTTCTGAAAGTAAAGTTTTTTTGTAGAGAATTATTTTTTATACCCCCCAATTTATTAACTGTATCCCTCTGCAGATTTACCTTTTTTTTAAACTTTGAGTAAAGATATCACGACATTCATAAAGCCAATTTCAATGAATTTTTTTTTCTTTGCATTCTACAAGTTCGTGGAATTCAAATAAAAAAAAATTCATCGAATTTGGCCCAGTAGTTGCTGAGATATCATTGCTCAAAGTTTGAAAAAAATCAAAATATCTATTAAAACAAATAATCCAAATTTTTTTTAAACTTTGAGCGAAGATATCTTTGCAACCACTAAGCTAAATTTGATGAATTTTTTTTTATTTGAATTCTAAGAATCTGTAGAATGCAAAGAAAAATTTTTGTCAAAATTGGCTTGGCGGTTGTCATGATATCTTTGTTCAAAGTTTTAAAAAAAGCCAAAATGTATATCAAAACAAAAGCTGTGCTAAAATTTTTTCAAAGTTTGAGCAAGGATATCTCGACAACTACTAGCCTAAATTCGATGAATTTTTTTTTATTTGAATGCCACGAATCTGTAGAATGCAAATAAAAAAAATTCATCAAAATTAGCTTGGTAGATGTTGAGATATCTTCGCTCAAAGTTTTAAAAAAACTCAAACTGTATATCAAAACAAAAGCTGTACTAAAATTTTGAGCAAGGATATCTCGACAACCACCAAGCCAATTTTGATGAATTTTTTTTATTTGAATTTTACGAATCTGTAGAATGCAAATAAAAAAAAAAATTTATCAAATTTGGCTTAGTGGTTGTCAAGATATCTTCATACAAAATTTGAGAAAAAGTTTGGTGCAGTTTTTGTTTTGATATATGTTTTGAGTTTTTTTTTAAACTTTGAACAAAGATATCTTGACATCCACCAAGCCAATTTCGATAAAATTTTTTTTATTTGCATTCTACAGATTCATAGAATTTAAATAAAATAAAAAAATTTATCAAAATTGGCTTGGTGATTATTGAGATATTCTTGCTCAAACTTTGAAAAAATTTTAGCGCAGCTTTTGTTTTGATATACATTTTGGCTTTTTTAAAACTTTGAGCGAAGATATCATGACAACTACCAAGCCAATTTCAACGAATTTTTGCAATGATATCTCAGCAAATACTGGGCCAAATTTGATGAATTTTTTTATTTGAATTCTACAAATCAGTAGAATGCAAAAAAAAAATTCATTAAAATTGGCTTGGTAGTTGTTATGATATCTTCACTCAAAGTTTGAAAAAAAGGTAAATTTGCAGGGGGTATAGTTAATAAATTAGGAAGATATAAAAAATAATCACCTTTTTGTATACTATTATACTATCTCTTAATATATAAGCCAATGTAAACAAATTTGTCTATGTTTTTGCACTTTTTTTAGTTTTGATCTACTTTTTAAAATGCTAAAATATTTAAATAAAACTTTGTACAATTATATTTAAAAATAAGAACTACTTTTTTGCAAAATTAGTTTTAATAATATAAGAAAAAAAGATTAAAAAGCTAACAAATATTAGCTCATTATACCCTCAGGATTTTTACTTAATCCTACCTAGAGTTAGTTATTTAATATAATAAAATTTACAAAAAATATATAATTAGGTTTTTAATAATTAATAATATAAACTGTCAAAAACCTAATTATGTATTTTTTGTAAATTTTACTATATTAAATAACTGACTCTAAGTAGAATTGAATAAAAATCCTAAAGGTATTATTTGTCAGCTTCTTAGGTTATTTATAAGCTAAAAATAAATAAGTTTAAAAAAAAATTTTAATCAAAATTATTTACAATTCTTAATAAACTTTTTAAATATCAATTTTAAATATATACAGTTAATTTTTCTAAATACACTTTTCCTAAATACAGCACCTCTTTAAATATATATATTTTTTTTAAGCTCAACTAATATTATATTTATAAATTTTTACCCCTTTAAATACATATACTAGAGCTAGTTGCAATAATATATATTTAGAGAGGTCTAACTGTGGTGTATAAAAATATACAAGAAGTTAATTGATTATTTTAGAACTTGTAATTGTTTTAGAGAAGAGAGGAGAAAAGAGAAAGAGAAGGACTTTATAATGAGCTCTTTTTTATTCAGTCCCTAAAACAAATCTAAAATTAAATATTTTACTTAAAAAATATATTGCTAAAATTAATATTTAAAATTTTATTAAAAAATTAAAATTTTTAACTGTGTTACAAATTAAAAGATAATATATACTATAAATAAATCTAAGAGAGCTAACAATTATCAGGTAATTTTTTAGAGAGGAGGTGAGTCAAAAAAATAAGAATTTTATATATGAGGCCTGATAATTTATATATTAAAAACTAGAGGAGGGTAAGCCTCTGATAAAAAAAAATCAGGTGACAAATGACACTGCCCTAACTATAATCAGTGGTGATTATCACTAGAGTGCTTATATCTCAAAAACATACTAAGTAAACAGGATCAGGTCTTCTAAGTAAAAATGTTCAAAATCCTAAAAACTTTACAAAAACTAAAATTAGGATCTTATATTAGCTTTATATTATATTATATAAAAAATAATAATTTTTAATACCCACACCCTAACCCTAAATATATCTAGGATGGTAATGATCACTATGAGTTATTTTGATTATATCTTATATACTATATACAATATAGTATATATAATAATATACAAATATAGATTGATATCAAGATCTAGTAATTGCATTTTTATGATTTTAGATTTGTTAGAATCTCCTCTTTGAGAGGATCATTTCAGTAATTAAATTATCCAAATTGGTTTAGTAGATCAAAAATTATTAATTTTAAATATTTATTATAATAATTTTATAAAATTTGATTAACTAATCCTATTAGTAAAGATAAATCAGCTGATTTCTAGAAGCTCTTCAACCAAGTGAGCTTTTATTTTAAAGTAGGAGGATAGAAGGCATTTAGTTGTTGCAGGCTATTTGTTCAGACACTCTGTATATCTCATATGCGCTTCTAAGTAAATAAAGGCAGGATTGCTAAAATTTAAAAAAATAAAAATACTAAAACTAAAATATAGGAAAAAAACTAATAAAAACTATATAGAATAAAACTCAAAAATAAAAGTTGAAAATCACAGTAAATGTAATATAGTAACTTTAGATAGTTAACTATACTACTTGACTTAACATGAAGAAAGATATATATACAAAAAGAATAAAACTCAAAGAAAAACACAACACTATATGCATTATCAATTATGCAGATTAAATACCAAAAGCTGATAACCCATATCGATATTTACACAGTTATAGATCATTGTTACGTATAATTACTTTTTGGTCAAAAATTTAAATATATATATATACTTTTATTTATTAATAATAATGTCTAAAAAAATTGTTATTTGCCAATAATCGGTAAATTTATCGGGTTGACATTTTTAAAAACTCTAATACGAACAACCTGTGCGAGGTGCTTGGTTTATCTCGCGCGGCACATATCTCTGCTTTATACCAACTTATCAGGGATGTACCGTTTATTAGAAGTCCAATTATAACGTTTATATCCAATATATTGAAGTGATAAATTGCTGACCCTCCCCCCTCCTTTAAAAAATTACGTAATAAACGGCATTCCTTTAAGGTATAAAAATTTAAGTTTAACGTTAATATAATATTGCGTCCGACACTTGTAGAGGTCATTCTTTTATTTTGTCATGACAGATGCATTAAATCATAAAGATTCAAACGGCTCGATATACTAATTATAATAAAAACTGATTAATCGATAGAGCTGAATGAACCCATTACATCTCTTTGATAACGAATTCTATGTTCATGTAACCATAGACCGATCAAAACTCTTTAAGAGCTTAGATTCATCACATATCCAAAATATCAAATTTTTACTTTGTTTATACTAATTATAGAATCCTGTAATTAGTTACATAATATATCATTAACGTTAATGTCCTGATCATCTTAGAATAAGAACGCATGCACGTTCACATGACGCGCACGAAAAATGCATCTTAGTGACTATGGCACATTATAATATCAAGATATGCAAAATTGATATATGACGCATCGCACACGTAGAGGATATCAAACAATAATCAAATTTGGAAAATTAAAGATGATTATTCTCGATGATAAAAATAAACCGAATTTTTTCATTAATGATAAAGGTTTATTAAGAAATTCGGTCTTCATTCCAGACAATTAACGGTAAAAATATGCAATGGTAATGTTTCCACCTGGTTTCCACCTGGCTTCCACCTGAAAATTATAATTATACTGTATTATTTAAATTAGATTAACTTGGCTTGAGGTTGTTCAGTCGGCACCAGCCTGGAGAGCCAATCTGACTAACATGATCCGTGAGCCGGACCGAGCCAGCCGTTTGTATCTCTATCTGCTGCTAATTCATCGACCATTTCCTCGCTTACAGAATCTAGATCATCATCAACATAGTCCGAATTTATCCCTCTTTCGCTTTCATCTACAAAATGTTCCCGATTATGGTGCAAATTATTTGATACCTCTGAAACATTTGCTGCTAAAACCGACGATGATGGTGAAGAACCAAGGCCTGTCATTGACAATTTATCTACATTACTTCCAATATCAAGATTTTGTGTGCCGTCAGATTGAAGAAATGACGTGCTAACGTATGTAGACATTTCTTTTTCATAACGTTGTCTTTCTTGCTTGTACATATCATAGTATTTCTATTTAAGTACAAAATCGAATTTAAAAAAAAACAAAGAGAAAAAAAAAAAGAAAAAGAGAGAAAAAAAGAGTGTGTGAACAAACCTCCTTTTCCTCCGATGGTAGTTCTTTCCATCGTTGACTCAGAATTCGAGTAACGTCTTGAAACCCTTTGTTTTGGTTTTCCTCTTTCGCTTGTTCACGTTGCATTTGACAATACATTAAGAAAGCATTTCTTGGTCGTTTAGGCGCGTTAGGGTCCCTATTTTGTCTTCTACGTTTGCCTGTACGTTGGTCTTCGAGTAACTCTTCCTGCTAAGTTTATGATTATTAATTGAATTTTATTTGTGAAATGGCATATATCAAGTATACATGATTTGATCAATATATTATTTAATATATATATTTTTGACCCATATTAAGAAAAAAAAGAAAAAAGGAAAGAAAAAATATTAAACGATAACCCCAAAAAAAGTAATGTAAAAAGATTATAAAAGATTATAATTTCATTTTGTTTTTTTTTTTTCATCCGCATTTGTTTATTGGTTTGTAAGGAATTAGAAAAAGGATCGGTGGAATTAAAAGCGAGGAATAGACAATACAACAATAAAGGTAGAAAAAATAATAACAGAAGGGTAGATAAGAGTTAGATACAACGAATAAAGAATACAATATATAAAAGCGCAAGTACGAATGTCGATTCCCTTTCTTGTCAATAAATCGTCGTAAGAGCTATGATCCCTCTTTGAACGCGCCAAATTTAGCTTTATAAGCAGTTTTAAAGAAATTTTTGTCGCGAATTCCCAAAAGTCGCTTATTATTGAATCATTGTCTCATTGACGTAGTTTGTGAACCATTATCATCATTATCATCACTACCCACCGAAGATAATTCCTCCTCAGAATCTATCACTCTTTGTGGCGAAGATGATGGCTCTGATTCAGACTCATTCGTGGGTTGTGATTGCTCTAATCGATCGAACAGAAAACTAAAACAACGATATAACCCATTAGCATAGTGTAAATGATGTTAAATTTTATAAAAAGTAAATATTACTTTCGCTCTATCCGCAATCGTTGTATATTCTTTTTTGCTTTAGTTAATTTGAGTGTCAATTTTTCATTTTCCTGTAATCAATTAATTTCATTGTTTTACATTTGAATTTTAAGAGAAATAAAAAATGGACATTTTTATTTCGTCTTCCCCGCCCATAAAATAAAACGGTATACCTCTTCCATTTCACGGATCTTCTTTTTCAGTTCTCTGTATTTCCTTTTGTATTTCATTTCTGCAAAGGTAAACATATATCGTCAATTCTACTGGTTGACAAGTAATGAACACACGAAAATTTAATATGCGTGAAAACTACCATCGGAAGCGGAAATTCCCTTGAACGCTGGTTGCTTTTGTCTTGACTTGTTGTGGATGTAAGCATATGCATTAGTTTGCGTTTTAATATAAATAGAATGTCTACAAATGTTATGTTCCTTATTACCTTTGAAGACATATCGTCAGTTGCTTGTAAGGTAACCGGGAAAGGCTCTGCGAATTGTTCAACACTATAGGACACTTTTAGATCGGAACCAGAAAGCAAATCAACCGTTTTAATAAAAAGAACCAAAAGTTTAGTAATTATTTTTGATATAAAGTAGAGTGAATAACGGATAAGATATTGTCCGATAGTTGCTTATCAACAGAGACTCCTAGCGATAAGAATTCCGAAGAAGGACGATAAACTGCGCGAAAACGAAAAAGTTTATAACGATTATAATTGAATGGATCAAGTCCGACAACTTATGAATGACAACACGCTATATTCAAACTACCATGTGGTGGCTTTGCTAATTGTGGAAATACTATATGACGTCAATAGTGCCGATCGTCATGTGCATTTATTGTATACATTGTGTTTTACTTCTTGGACTTATACTGTATATTATTTAATATAATTTATATTGTATACTTTTTTATTAGGCTCAATACTATGTTAATATAACTTATAACTTAGACTTTATCCGCTATAGTAAACTAAATCGAATTTTTTTGCAAATAAAAAATCTAATATATTAACAAAAGGTTTTTACATCCTAGCTTATTATAATTGTCTCTTTTTTTTTAAATTCTAAACCCTTCTTTTCTAACTTTCTAAGTAGAAAGAAAAACTTTTAACTACTTAATAAAAAAAAAACTTTAAAATCAAAGAAAAAAAAAAAGAAGTTTAAAAGAGAGAATACCAATACAAATACTACTATAAAACAATAACAAAAATATAAAAAAAAAAAAAATAAAAAATAACAAACCAAAAAAAGAAAAAACAATCTATAGTAAACACACTATTATTCTTTAAACTGTCAAGCAGGCAAATTTGCCTGCTTAAATTATTTTTGAAAAGTTTTTTTGAGTTTTCTTAAAATTTATTTAAGCTTAACCCCTCTATTTATTAAATAAAATTAAAGATATTCCTTTTATATATAATATATTTAAATTTTATCATTTTATTTTTAATTTGATAAAGATATTACATTTTTAATAAAATATATTTTTTAGTTTTACTAAAAAGTTTCTTAAAATTTTATATGTTTTTGAAGAGAAATTTTTTAGTTACTACTAAGTAAAGTTTAAATTTTGCT